ATCTCAAAACAACTGAGAGAAGAAAAAAAAAGAATATTCCTGCGCCATCATCTGCTACATCATCAGACGACGACGACCTTCCTCAGACGGTGGACCTGCCTGCGATGGAAGAGGAGATCCGTGCTGGAACGAGTACGGGTCCGGGTGAGCAAGGTGTCGCCGCGTTGATGGACCTGTCTGTGCCGGAGGACGCCAACTTACGATGGAGACAGATGGCGGCGCAGATGGAGACCTTGAAAATCGTGCTGGCGTAACTGTGTGAGTTCACCACGCCGAGGACGGCGTCGGGGAGGCCCGGTGGTGATCCGCAGGCCTCCGCCTTTCCTGCGCTGCCAGCGCCATCTGCCACGTGGCACGAAGACGCCATCTTGGGCGTGGCAGGGGAGAAAAGGCGGGAGGCCGCCATCTTGTCTTCACCGCGGCGGGGAGACGTCGCCATTCAACATCGCGGCGGTGACGCAGCTTTGCGCTGCCATCTGGAGGTGCCTCGGGGAGAGCAGCCTGCAGTGAGCTGCTGCGCGAGGACGAGCTGCGAGGAGAGGACGACGATGCTGCGGCTGCTGGGGCGGGAGCTTCCCGTCCTGGCTCGGGTGCGTGACAACGGAGCAGTCAAGTCGCCGAACGAGTTCTGCGAGGCGTCTCAAGTTGCCACCCTGCCGTCCTCTTCTTGCTGCAGCCCCGGGCGAGTCGTAACGATATGCACCCGGCCTTAACACACACCTCACCCATCTTTCGAGGGCCGGGGGGCGATTGTGTTTTTTTCTCTCATGACTCGATTGTGCGGAGCGCGGTTCGGACTGTGTGTATGTGTGTGTAATAACGATGAACGCGCTATCTGCTTGTTGCTTGGTGTCAATATAAGTGTGTGCGTGTGTTGAGAATGGACAGAGAGTCTGCTGTGTTTGCTGAGTGTCAAATTGTGTGTGTGCGCTGCGGCGTGGAGTTGTTATCTTGATGGCGAAGTTAATTATTAACTCGGGAGCGTCGGGTATCTTGCGCTGTATTATCTCGTGGGTTACCTTGTGCGATGGGCTTAATTGAAAAAAAATATATTTTTTTTTTGGTGTATTGTGCTGCGAGGTGCTATGTGCGATGTGGTTGTTGCAAGAGAGAGAATGTTTGTGTTGTTGCTGCAAAGTTACGACAGGATTAATGGTGTGTTGGTTGCCTGCAGATCTGCTTGCTATTGTGCTTAAATGTACGCGTGTGATCGCGATATGCTGACTGTATGTGCTGTTACACCGTTCTGTACGGTTATGGGGTGCAATGCATTGGTTGACTATTGGGGTTTGGGATTGTTATTAATTGTGCGTACCTGTTTGGAAATTGGTAACAAATTCGAGGGGAACCCAAAAATTTGGTTGTATGGTTGTTGTGCACACGAGATTGCGTGTATATTATAAAGGGGGACCCTAAAATGTGGTTGTATGGGTGTTGTGCACACGAGATTGCGTGTATATTATAGAGGGGGACCAAAAAATGTGGTTGTATGGGTGTTGTGCACACGAGATTGCGTGTATATTATAAGGGTAATTGAGCTTTTTGAAAATGAGGGTGCGCGATGACGCCGTTGTGGGTGGCTCAGATGTTAATGCTAATGGGATCGTAAATGGGCGCCAAGTGGCGTCGCGTACTCGGTTTATCGCATGCAGCCACGAGTTGCTTTGCGAGTTGGGTTGTGTAACCAATGTGGTTGGTAAAATATTGGTTAAAAATTCCCCGATATGACTGCTGCACGCAGCAAGCTGGGGCTGTGCGTCTATCGTTGTTGGGGTTGTTACAATAAGACGGGGGATGCATTTTGTGACCCCCAGCAAAGGGAAGCTGGGGTGCACGAATGGAGAAAACTGGCCACGTATTCGCACGTTGGGCCGCCATTTTGCGCGCACGCGGGGTATGGCGACGATGCGCTTTGCGGAAAGGGCCGCCATTTTGAGTGCGCGCGAGTTATTGCGCGAACGCGCTGGGCGAAGGGGGCCGCCATTTTGAGCGCGCGGGAAAAACCGCGGTGGGGCAAATATTCCATCTGTTATGCCTGCCATTGTTGATTGGGTGATGCACGAGTTGTGGTCACATTGGCCTATGGCTGATGGCTGACCTGACAGCCCGGAGGCGAAACCTCCGTGGTATGTCTTAAACTAATGGGCCATGTGCTCATATGACTCGGGGAGTCATGGTTCAGTTGTGCGGTGGCAGACTGAACCTGGTGTGCCGGGGGCTCACGGGATCTGGGTTAGGGTGTTATTGTCTCTATAAGAGAACATTGCCCCGTGGGGGGAGTCGATGGGGTCTGGCATTGCCGGGGGATGAACCTTCCCTGGGCTATAAAGCATCAGACTATACGAGGCTGGTGTGTGTCCATCTCTGATGGGATAGTAAGGGAGGAGCATGGCCGAGTTGCTGCTCATCCCCGAAATTGCACTAGCCGAGAGTATGGTCAGTGGTTGTTGCTGTGGGTTGACGACCACGGTGGGGGTTAGGGCGAGTTAAACGTTACCGCTGGGGAGCGTGGCTCTCTCCACGCGAGGGTGTGCGACTGGGGGCTTTGCTGAGAGTGACCGTGGGTACATGCTGTGTACGTGCGATGTCTGTGCTGGTCCTTAAGGGAGGATTGCTGGTGGGCAAGAGCAGGAAATTTTGTTGTTGTTGTTGTTGTCACATGTAAATAATATTGTTGTTAAAATGTAAATACTGGGGCATCCATCGCGTCTATTTTGGGTATTTATGGGGGTTTTCTTAAGCGGGCCGGATTTACATCATCTCCACTACCCTGGGGCCGGGTGGCTGTCGTGTACGACATGTGGATGTGCGTTGTTGTGCTGTGCCTCAGGGGATTGGATTCTCCTTCTCGTCACAGATCTTCAGTGCCTGCCACACTGGGTGTTACCTGGTGTGCTAACTGGAAGAGGACTTGAAGGAGTGATTGAGCGCCCGTTCGTCATTCCTGCTCTACCACTTTCTCTTTGACGTTGGACTTGAGCCGAGCGGATGGAACTGCAACATGGACACGCACTAAAACATCACATTCCTGGGTTGTGCGCGTCGGCCGTTCTTGCGTGTCAGTTGCCGTTGTTGTGCATTGTGCCATTCTTATTCTTGTTGTTGTTGCGCGGAGGACAGGCCGGTGTTCTGTTCCAGTTCCTGATACCTCCCCTTTCGTTACTTGTGTTGTTGTTCTTATAATCTCCGTTGTGTCTGGGGGACTCCTGATTGTGATGCCTTCGCCCGCATTATTTTGTTCTGTTTCAGCCGAGGACGGCTGGAATTTTCTCTACGGGGGAGGGTAGTGTAATGCGGGCGTAAATGGGCGGGGCGGATATGACGATCCGAGAGGGAGGAGTCAGGGTCACGTGGGGGAGAAGTTATAGCGGGGAGACAGGAAGCCATCTGGGTCAGTCGGGGGAGTGAAGGGTGGTGAACACGTTGGGTGGTCGCCGTGCCTCAGCCTGGTGGCTGAGGGGCTCATGACGGCGCCAGCCAGCGGGGTGGAAGAGAGTTGGGGATAGAGCTGAGATTGGAGATGGCGAGATCGCCACAGAGGCCACGGAGGGCTGAGGTTGGGGAGTGGCGAGATCGCCACACACGGTAAGACTCGGCACCGCCGGCCAGCGGTGACCGAGCACGGAGGAACAGGGAGCAGCGGTGGAGCTGCTGTGAGAGCAGCCAGAGGGCTGCACCAAGAGCCTGCAGCGGAGCTGCAGGAGCGCGGAAGGCTACGGGAGCGAAGGCAGCTGTGGAGCTGCCAGGCAGAGAGTCTCAGGAGGAGTGCCGTGAGGGAAAGAGAACGTGAACCCAAATAAAGGACACGGAGACAGAACCAGGGTCGAGTCCTTTATTACACATGTAAGCTGGGCTTAGTTATGACAACAACAAAGTTGTTTGTTGTTAAAACTACAGGAATATATTTTTTCTTAAAATAATAAATTTATACTGAAACACTGCACACAAATTGTACAGACGGTCATTTTGGTGTCACCTCCTCTGATGGTGTCACCCTGTGCGGTTCGCACCCCCCTAGTGACACCACTGCACTACACTACTATGCACTACCCTTTACACTAACCCATACACAACTCCTGTTGCGGGTGTGATCTTACTGATCCTAAACGGGCTACGATTTGCTAATGCGTCGTAGTCATTGGGAGCGTAATGGGGCGGAAGCTTTACAAATGACAAACATTTGAGAGTGATGTCAAAGTCTTTATTAACACCGGAGGAATCCGAAGAGCTGTAAAGCTCTTGGTGTGTCACAGATGTCCAGTAGGGGGCATGGTGTCAGAACGTTACGACAAAAACAACACAAGACACAAACACGATAGGACTTCAACAGTATAGGAAATGTTGATGGTCACTCATCCAGCTGTGGATTGACCAGTGAGGCCTAGTGGAGGCTGTTCAGTCAGGCCTAGTAAAGCCTGTCCAGTTAGGCTTAGTAAAGCCTGTTTAAGCAGGCCCAGTGAAAAAGCCTCTGCAGTCAGGCCGTGCCACGTTCACGCCGTGGGGGGCCTTGCGTGCTGCCCCCCCCCCAGCGCCCCCACCCCCCCGGAGCCCCCCCTCCCCACCCCTACCCACCGCGCCCACCCCGGCCTAGAGGCTTGACTCCTCGATGGGGGCGACGACGAGTGACGGGGGTGTCGCGTTGGAGAGAAGGACGATGGGGTCGGAGCGGAGGGGCCTGGTAGTGGTGGTGGTGGGTGGAGAGGCGGTGATGATAGTGGTGGTGGTGGTTGGAGGGGCAGTGATGATAGTGGTGGTGGTGGGTGGAGAGGCGGTGATGATAGCGGTGGTGGTGGGTGCAGGGGCGGTGATGATAGCGGTGGGTGGAGGGGCTGTGACGATAGCGGTGGTGGGTGGAGGGGCGGTGACGGTGGTGGTGGTGGGTGGAGGGGCGGTGGTGGTGGTGGTGGGTGGAGTGGCGGTGACGGTGGCGGTGACGGTGGTGGTGGGTGGAGGGGCGGCTGTGGTGCCACCGCTGCCACCACCACCACCACCGCTGCCACCAGGCAGCCCCGGGTCGGTCCGCAGCTGCGCCAGACGCTCCTCCACGCAGTGCGCCGAGAGGCGAGCCTCCGCATCCTGGTCCCAGCACTCCTCCATGGTGACACACAGCTGGGACAGTCCCTGGGAGTCACGCACCAACATCGTCACCACCACCGCCACCACCACCAAGACACCACCACCACCACCAAGCCACCACCGCCACCACCGCCACCGCCGCCACCACCGCCGCCACCACCGCCGCCACCACCGCCACCACCGCCACCACCGCCACCACCACCACCACCGCCGCCACCACCGCCACCACCACCACCAGCAAGCCACCACGAGGTCAATCTGCTGCTGGATGAGTGACCATCAGCCGAGGTTAAAACGCAACTTCAATACAGCGGCAGACATCGTCAGGGTCGGGATGGAACCCACGTCCTCCCGTAGACCAGGTGAGGTAGTCAACATCTGCGCCCTAGTAACATTGACCAGGAGGGATGACAGAGGAGGGAAGGAGGAGGGGAGGGAAAGAGTGAGCCAGTGAGTGAGTGAGTGAGCGAGTGAGTGAGTGGGTGAGAGGGTAAGTGAGTGATTGGGTGAGTGAGTTAGCCAGTGAGTGAGTGAGCGAGTGAGTGAGGGAGAGGGTGAGTTAGTGGGTGAGAGAGTGAGTGATTGAGTGGGCGAGTGAGTGAGCCAGTGAGTGAATGAGCCAGTGAGTGAGCGAGCGAGTGAGTGAGCGAGTAAGTGAGTGAGCGAGTGAGTGAGTGGGTGAGCGAGCGAGTGAGTGAGGGAGAGAGTGAGTTAGTGAGTCTATGAGAGTGAGTGAGCGAGTTAGTGAGTGACTGACTGACTGAGTGAGTGAGCGAGTGAGCGAGTTAGTGAGTGAGTGACTGACTGACTGAGTGAGTGAGTGAGCGAGTGAGCGAGTTCGTGAGTGAGCGAGTAAGTGACTGAGTGAGTGGGTGGGTGATTGAGGGAGTGACTGAGTAACTGACTGAGTGAGCGAGTGAGTAGTGAGTGAGTGAGCGAGCGAGCGAGTGAGAAAGAGAGTGGGAGAGTGAGAGAGAGTTAGTGAGTGGGTGAGTGTGTGAGAGGGCGAGTTAGTGAGAGAGTTAGTGAGTGAGTGAGTGAGCGAGTGAGTGAGCGAGTTTGTGAGTGAGGGAGTGAGTGAGTGTGTTACTGACTGAGTGAGTGAGTGAGAGAAAAAGTGAGTGAGTGACTGAATGAGTAAGTGCGTGAGTGGGAGAGTGAGTGAGCCAGTGAGTGCGTCAGTGAGTGAGTCAGTGAGTGAGTGAGACAGTGAGTGAGTCAGTGAGTGAGTGGGTGAGGGAGTGAGCGAGTTAATGAGTGAGTTACTGAGTAAGTGACTGAGTGAGTGGGTGGGGTGTGAGCGAGTGAGTGAGGTGAGCGAGCGAGTGACTGAGTGAATGAGAGAGCGCTAGTGAGTGAGTGACTGAGTGAGTGGGTGAGCGAGCGAGCGACGTGAGCGAGTTGGTGAGTGAGCGAGCGAGTGAGTGAGAAAAAGAGAGTGGGAGAGTGAGTGAGAGAGTTAGAGAGAGAGAGTTAGTGGGTGAGTGTGTGGAGAGGGCGAGTTAGTGAGAGGTTAGGTGACTAACTGAGTGAGTGAGCGAGAGAGAGAGTGACTGTGATGAGTGAGCGAGTTAGTGAGTGAGAGAGTTAGTGAGTGAGAGAGTTAGTGAGTGAGTGAGTGAGTCACTAATGAGTGAGTCATGAGTGAGTGAGCGAGCAAGAGAGAGTGAGCGAGTTAGTGAGTGAGCGACTGAGTGAGTGAGAAAGAGAGAGTGAGTGAGAGAGGTGAGTGAGTGAGTGAGTTAGTGAGTGAGTGGGTGAGGGAGTGAGCGAGTGAGTTAGTGAGTGAGTGAGCGAGCGAGAGCGAGTGATTGAGTGAATGAGAGCACTATTGAGTGAGTGAGTGGCTGAGTGAGTAAGTGAGCGAGTGAGCGAGTGAGCGAGTTAGTGAGTGTGCGACTGAGTGAGTGAGAAAGAGAGAGTGAGTGAGTGACTGAGTGAGTGAGTCTGTGAGAGTGAGCGAGTTAGTGAGTGAGTGAGTGAGTGACTGACTGAGTGAGTGAGTGACTGATTGACTGAGTGACTGAGTGAGTGACTGAGTGAGTGACTGAGTGAGTGTGTAAGTG